AGGCCGTTTTTCTTCGTTTAGTTTTTTTAAAGTCTATATTTTGCTTTACAAAAACGTGAAAAAGCAGCTGTGACCAAGCTATCACGAGGTGAGTAGCATTGTAAGCATAATTAATAGCGATATACTTCAGTTTGTCTATGTGTTTATGTCTGCAGCTGGGTACTCTTGGGGCGGTCTGCTGACAGTCCAAAATGGCGGCGGTAGGACTAAACCATGGGCGAGTCTGTTGCTATAGGGCATTCTATTGAGCTTCGCCTCTTGGTATCCATGCTCTTTGACGGCACTGACTGCAACTAACGTTACTTCGGGAAAAGAGTATGACTCAGAGTTTTCCCTCCAAAATGCAGCCAATCTCGTGTCCTGCCACTTATGTTGCATTCAGGGAATATCGGACGTCACAAGCTCTGAAACGCTCCATTTTCTGATTCCAGTGTTCATAAATTCTTCCAAGGTGGTTAGGTCTTGCAACAACCTTGTAGTTAGACCAGAAAACAGCCTAAATTTGCTGTTTTTATTTTGTGACATTTTTGTCGTGTTTTAGGCTACTGTATTGCTGTGAAAGGACATCAAATAAAACAGTGCCTACAACTGCCATAAAATTAGCTGAATCCATGTAATAGTGTTGATATAGGATTTTATTTGGATGTATGCATATAATATATATGTATAGCTAAATAGGCCTATGTTCATGCACATTCTGGATTTTGACAGACTCTCATTATCAAAAAGCAAGACCATTGGGAACAGAGTTTACTTTGTGAGAAAGCATAACAACAACAACAACAACAACAGGTCAAACAGGTAAAGATATAAGGCAGGAAGGAAGAAGACTTTGAAAAATATCTAGTTCAAAATCAAAATTGTGGTGTTCAGATTCAGGCAAAACCCAAGTGGTGAAAATCTAAAACTACAATACACAATTCACAGTGTGAAAAATGATTAGGCTATTGTGCAGGTCTAACACCTTTGGATAATGATGTAGTGAGGACCATGTCAGCAGACAGGTGCAGGTGTCTGACAAAGGTAGGAACGCAATGAAGACAAGTGGGCAGGAGAAGAAGAGCGGGGTCTGAAATGATGACAGATGTTAATGGACATATCAACGAGATGATTCTCTCAATCAAATGTTTATTGTTGTGATGAAGTCTTGACTAAGTTTTTCATGACAATGTATTGATTGGTACATGAAATGATGAAGAAGCATACTAACGGCTGAACTATTGTACTTCTAACACAAGCCATGGTAAAGTCCTAGAGATTAGATTAGATTAGATTGGATTAGATAGAACTTTCTGTCTTTGGCAAGAGTGAGAAAAATCATAGAAGCTGAAGCAGTGAGAGAGGTTGACCATGGCCAGTTTGAAGAAAGGTGAGACAACAGCAGGATTTCGATCAGCAGACAGTAAATGAGAAAAAAATATAGTTTATTATTACAGGTGATTTTGGTACAGGAGTATCGTGCAGACTCAGCGGGGAGATTTCTTGATCGAGGTAGCATCAGCTGCGTCATAAATCCCCTCACGGAGTCCAGACAATGGAGGTGTTGGCAGAAGACCTCTGATAAAACCACTGATGAGGCTGAGGAGATGATGAAACCGATGAATCTGCCAAGACAAGGTGTTGATGGGGAGATGAGGGGTGTGCATAACAGCAGCACAAACGCACTAAGAGCAATAGATCTAGACCAGGTCTAATGTGGTCTAGATTAGAAAAAAAAGCCCTGAAATGGCCCTTTATTGGATTTTCACAAATTGAAAATAGGTTTCACGAATCAGATGTTTCAATGTTTTTATCAAGCAATCAATCAATCAATCAATTTTATTTATAAAGCCCAATATCACAAATCACAATTTGCCTCACAGGGCTTTACAGCATACGACATCCCTCTGTCCTTATGACCCTCACAGCGGATAAGAAAAAACTCCCCCCAAAAAAACCCTTTAGCTGGGAAAAAAATGGTAGAAACTTCAGGAAGAGCAACTGAGGAGGGATCCCTCTTCCAGGACGGACAGACGTGCAGTAGATGTCGTACAGAACAGATCAACATAATAAATTAACAGTAATCCGCATGACACAATGAGACAGAGAGAGGGAGAGACAGAGAGAGAGTCAGAGACAGAGAGAGATGCAGGACAGACGGTAATGACAGTAGCTTACAACAACATTAATGAAAGTAATAATATTATAATTAATAATAATATATTAATATCTTATAGTATACATGTGTGACAATAATCATATGTGTATAATAACAGTAGAAGTATGACTAATGATAACAGCAGCAGGAGGCATCTGGCATTAAAAAAGCTCATAAAATCATTACTGCTAAGGGCTAAAGGAATACAAGGCTCAATTGAGCTGTGACTCTCAGTCAGCCTGGCTACAGTGCTGAAAAGAAACCTGGGGTTGTTCTTATTTTCTTCTATTAATGCTGAGTAATAGTTTGCTCTGGCATTGCGGAGGCCCCTCTTATACGTTTTGAGACTGTCTGCCCAGATTAAACAAGATTCTTCCAGTTTGGTTAATCGCCAATTCCTTTCAATTCCTTTCCTCTAGCATCTCCTCTTCAATCTAGTCCAGATTTTACCATTCTGAGTATAGTGGTTTTTGACCAGTGGTTTAGACCAGGTCTAATGTGGTCTAGATGAGAAAAAAAGCATTGGAATGGCCCTTTATTGCATTTTCACAAATTGAATAAAGGTTTCACAAATCAGAAACTATGTTTTCATGATTCTCTAGAGTCTCCATGTTAATCTAGTCCAGATTTGATCACTCTGAGTATAGTGGTTTTGGATCTAGACCAGGTCTAATGTGGTCTAGATTAGAAAAAAGCATTGAAATGGACCTTTATTGCATTTTCACAAATTGAATAAAGGTTTCACAAATCAGAAACTATGTTTTTATGATTCTCTAGAGTGTCCTCTTCAATCTAATTCAGATTTCATCACTCTGAGTATAGTGGTTTTTGATCTAGACCAGGTCTAATGTGGTCCAGATGAATAAAAAACACAGAAAGTGCCCTTTATCAAATTTTCACAAATAGAATAAAGGCTTCACAAATCAGAAACTGTGTTTTAATTATTCTGTATAGTCTCCATGTTAATCTAGGCCAGATTTGATCACTGTAAGTATAATGGTTTTTTTAATATAAATACAAGCAGAAATAGCAATCAGAGTGAAAATCAGTTTACTGTGAGTAACAGATATTAGAGAGTAATGCTACAGTTAAATTAAATAAAATCCAGGTTTTGAAATTAATTAAACACCTTTACAATCTAATTCTCATTTCATCTTCCTACTGTATTTCATAAATTCCAATAAGAGGCTGTGAATAAGGTGCCAACTTCAGCCTCGTGAACAGGTGTAAGTATCACGCTGTCAGCTGCACAAATGCAGGAAAATTTGCCACGGGTCCATACCTTTAATTGGGGATGTCGATGCGCCAAGACGCGATATCTTGGCCACACCAAACAATGTTCTACTCCACTGGGCGACAATGACACTAGTGCACTCAGGCTTGGCGAGGCTTGTGCGCCATATTCTTGGCCACGCCAAACAATCTTCTTCGCCACACCAACCCGGATGTTGGCCCAAGGAGGAAGCAAAAGTAAGAGGGGAGCGGCCAGCTACCTGTATTTCTAGGGGCGCACGGCGCCACCTCTCACTTAAAAGTGTCGGGCAAAATCTTCATTACAGATTTATGATCAGAAAAACTTTACAGTGCTGAACTGCTTAAATTATTCTTCAGGTTCCCACCAGATTCCAGGTGCTGTATACCACTCTTATGTGGCATACACTATTGACCAGCTGAATGGAGGAGAAAAGGAGAGCGGAGAGTTGGAGACGGCTGTACTCTGCATGAAATCTTTGTGAGGAAAAACAAATGTAACAGCTAACATTATACAAAGAGTCGCATCCTCTAGGAAGGTCAATATACCCGATCCTGATCAGTTAAAAAATGCCTTGATCGGCCCCAAAGATTACATCCAGGAAGCAGGGCAGCTTGAGCCATATTGAAAGTTGAAATGAATGGACCCGGGTTGTTTATGCTGCAAGTACAAGAGCTTGCATTTAGTTCTAGGGAGTGTATTCCTGCATTCATGACACTAAATGCTGATTTTACTTAGAGAAGGGAAGACAGGATGGATGCTTCAGGCTGCCAGAGGTTAACATCTGCCCCATGGACAACAGGCCCACACACAAACAGCACCTGGAAGATCAGCTCTGCATTCAGGATTTTAAGTAAATAGGCTATGATACAGTGCTTGTTGAGGTTGCTAAGTAACCTCAGACGTAACCTGCTGCTGCACTCCTGAAAGCTGGCACGGAAAAGGCACAGGAGTAGCATCCGGTGCCTGACATTGAGTTTTCAGGCAGTTAAAGACGCAGCAAGCATATGGCCCCTTGGGAACCTCAGTGTAATCTTTGATCAAGATATGTCCTTTAACTCTTGTAAAAACAAAGTTCAAAGACTGCCTTCTTTAACCTGTGTAATATTGCAAAAAAGTGGGCATATTCTGTCTCAAATAGATGCAGAAAAACGAGTCCACGCATTTTCAACTTCTAGGGTGGATTATTACAGTTCATTATTACCGGTTTGTTTCAAGTCTCAAAAGACTCTGCAGTTGATCCAGCATGTGTACTGACAGGAACTTAGAAAAGAGATTTGCTTCCATTCTGAAAATGATTAGGCAGTGACTGGGCCCTGGCTGGCCCCTACCAGTGGCTCACAAAAATGCCCCACATCTTTTGTGGTTTGTAGGCAATCTGGCATGCAGCAGGTGGAGTCATGGGTGGAGCAAAGCAAGAAAAGGAAGTAAAAAAAACCAAACTCCTACAGGGCCTGCACATCTACAATGCTTTATCCAAACCGCAGTGAAAATTAATGACTACAAGCCTGTACCAACTCAAATAACCTTACACAGTGTGGGGATGAAATATAGTAGCAGAATAAAATATCATACTTTATCCTTGTTTCCATGCTCATCTGCAAGATGAAGTCACTGTACCTCATCATTTAGGCAGACATGAAGTTTGATGTTTTGGTTAAATACATCTTGTGTAGTAGCACATGGTGCAACAGGATATGAGGTCAGAAAATTTGACATTGTGATAGCCTAAAAGATTGACTATAGTATGTTCAAAATATTTTGACTCAGGTAATACAAAATTAGTGATATTACAGAGACAGTACTGGGTTGCCCCTCTAAAGAGTTCCCAGTATGCAGCAGTGAGAACAAGAAATTCAGTGTTTTTGAGCGTTATGTAATTGTTGAAGGACACTGTCACATTTATATGCTGTTCAAATTACAAAACCAGAACACTCCACCACCCCATGTGTACAGCAGTAACAGTGCTTCAAATGATTCAAATGACTGAGACTATGGGTGTTTTCACATTTTTAAATGAACCAAATTCAGTCCTCTTAAAGTGGACCGATGAGTGGAACAACAGAAATGGGAGGCGTTTCTTTTTGCATTCACATTGTCAGTTCATTCGAAAGAGGACTCAATTCTCTGTCAGGTCAACTTCAGCTGTTCACACTACTGTTCCTCTGGAGCTCAGACCATTGCTGCTTTGGATTATTAACATACATAAACACACACACACACACACACACACACAAAGCCACCCTGGCACACTTGTAGTCTATTTATCTATCTATATAGATAGACTAAAAGTGTGCAAGGGCAAATCTATCTGTACATTCCAATGGCCATACCACCATATTATATAGTATGCCAGAAAACGATTTAATATGTCCCAATACATACTACGTCAAATACAGTGTGCCAATACAAAAATAAAATAACAATTACATTGAGAGAGGGTAATAGATGTGTAAATCGCATGTAGTACCTTTGTTTGATGTGTTATGGGTTTTTTTGCACATATGAAGTCCCTCTCTTTCATATGGACTGAAAATTAATGAAGTTGTTAGTGTTTCTCTGTGTTGTAGACAGTTGCCATTTGATGTTTTCTTCATTCCGTATTTTTTTTTTTTCCGTTATTTTTTTATTTTTTCCCATGCATCCCAGAGCAGTAACATGTAATCAAGAGGGCAAAAATACAAAAGCAATTGGCAAAGCATTCCTGGAGCACTTTGTGTTCACAATGCACGGATGAAGTGAACCGTAACAGGGACTTGAAGTGAACCATAGGTGCTCCAAGTATGGTTCATTTCAGAAAGGCCTGAGTTCCCTTAAAAAAAAATCAGTAAGCTCCAGATACGAAGCTGATGTATTTCTTTATTTCATCTAAGAAGTGTACTGTTATCTCCTTATTCACAATTCACTGTGTCTCGCCCCTCTCTGACAGCAGGCTTTCCATGCCTCCCAGTGAGGCCAGTCAGAACTGAGAAACTAAACATGGTCAGGCTCCACTTTGTACAAACTTTTTCATTGTAGGCATACAGTCTGTCAATCAGACTGATAAGTTCTAACCGTCTGTAATACATTTTGGTTGTTTGCTGACTATATTAGTTTGCAATTATGGCACAGATTGTGTCTTTAACAGAACCATTATTTAAATATTTCTCAGTGTATTCCACAATAAAAAAAAAAACAAAAAAAAAAAAACAACTTTTCTAAAAAAAAAAAAAAAAAAAATTGAAATAAAAGTCATATTGCACATCTGCTAGTGGTTCCCAACTTACTGGCTTGTGACTCCTAGTAGCCAAGCAAAACATCCCTACATATCCCTTATCACATTTCAACCAAACACTCTTTGGCTCTCAGACTTTTGATTCCTGAAGAGATCAAAGTCTCCAGCATTTTAGAATAAAAGCAAACACCTGAGAAAAATGTGAAAACAATAACAACATAATTATATGCAGCTTCTTCTTCTTCCCTTTCTTGTCTATCATTTTGCAACTCCTGCTGGTCCTCACCCCATGTTGGGTGCCACTTCCACTGTCGGTCAGATTCTTCTATATGGCTTTTGCTGTAAGAGGATGAAGTGCCTCCCTTTGGATGAGCCCACAGTGGTCAGCTTGAATAAACCACTCTACAGATGATTTCTTTTTTCAAAGGTTTCCCTTGAGAATGAAAAGATATGAAATCCATTGTAGCCATCAGACATGTAACAAATGATCCTGTTTAACAACTTGTATATTTGCTGCCTGAACTACTAAAAATACTTATTTCCAACACTGTGACTGGCCTTGTCCCTCCAGTTCAGCTCTTCCAGTCCCAGGGGATACACAAGTCCCCATCCTGCATTACTGAGTAAAAGTGAGAGACACAGATGTGGAGGCCCTGCATGAGGGGACAGCGCTGCTCTACCAGCCTTTTACAGCACAGGATCATTTGGCTGGAGCTGACACTGGGCTCCTTGGACAGACTCCTCAGGGACAGACTGTGGAGACACAGCTTCACCACAGCCTCCTCCTCTGCCTGCAGCCTGAACACACAAACAAGTATGAGTCAGTAACAAAGCTGATGATATTTGTTTTAGTGTTCATTGTGTTAAAATGAAAGGATTTCTGCCACAAGAGCTTCCTGGTCCTCATTTAGGATCCTTGTGAACTGAGAACAGAAGCTCTTTATGGGCATCTCCGTGCTGGCCTCGGTGTAATCAGTACCTTCTTTCTGACCTCAACAGGGAGAAATATCTATAGATATTTTTCATTTTTATTAACACCCAAAATTTTTACTGATGCCTTTTCTTCAATACACCTTACCTACAAATATATATATATATATATATACACACACACACACACACATATATATATATATATATATATATATATATATATACACACACATATGAGAAATACATCATGTGGCATGCGTTACATGCTGCCCCTAGCACACACTGGACGCATCACATTGTAGCTCGTCAACAGGCGACCACGGAAAGTTACTACCACTTTACTGAAAGACCAGTACCTACTCCACCTCTGCATTAGCTTAAAATCAAGTGTGGACAGCCTTAATAAAAGTTGATTTCTCATCTGAAGAGCCAATCACCAGAGTTATGACTCAAGAGGAAGTATCTTTTTGGCCATTGTCTTTATAATGACAGGATTATGGGTCCATTAGCTCAGAATATTTCTCAACCTCTAAAACAAGCTTCTCCTGATCCATTCGCCTTCACACGAGACAGCAACAGCTACAGAGTTCTCTTTATGTAACAATGGTGAGGAGAGGAGTCAAGTTGCCACAGGAGCAGAGAAAAAGAGCTGCAACGGGAGCTGGAATCTACAAGCAGAGAGCGAGTGTGGGAAAAATGCATTTCATTCCGGGGTGGCGGGCATAAAGTGCAGTGGGACAACGCATCCAGGCGAACCAACATGTGTCTAACTGCCGCTGGTGTGGGGTTTTACACTGACAATAATAGGGGCATATTTTTTGATGCGCAGCGTTAGCCACCTATATGTTTTGGCCTTCAAGTTTCTCTTCTTGTTTCATGTTATAGCGCCCCCTGGCAGCAACACTCAGACAGCAACTCGCACTGCGTTGTGATTTTTGAGTGACACACACCAGAACACGACGACATGTGAAATTAATCTTGCGTAGCTTGAGGTGTCTGTGTTGGTGTAAGTGTGTGGACCAGGTTTCTGCCTTGAGAAAGTAGAAGTGTTTGTACCAGCACTTTCTTCAAAAGTAGTTTAGCCAACTTGAGAGACTGTCAGCGTGAGAGCATGAGAGCAGCCAACAGACATGAGTTGTGCTGCTCTGCCTCGCACTGCCTTCTGTTTCACACATGGGAGACGTTTCCCTTATAGGCTTTTTCCCAGAGAGCCTTTTCTGACAGAGGTGTATTCATTTTAACCCAAGAACAAGCAGGGTGGAGGGCGCGCACATCCAAAAAACTTTTACAGGTGCTGGATCACAAAATCAAACTTAAGCAGGAAGCAGACAGGATATCTGCACACTGTATTAAAGGTTCCAGTATGTCGGTGAAGATTCTCAGTCATCCAGGTCATGGTAATCATAAGTGCTATATCGTAGGCAACTGGACTTGCTTGCGTTTCCTGAAGACGTTTTTGCCTCTCATCCAAGAAGCTTCTTCAGTTCTAAATGACTGGTAGGAAGTTGCAGGCTATAAACCCTGTGTGGGTGGGAACCCTTGCAGAGTCATAGGGGTCACGTGAGCTCTTAGTTTCAGAGTCGTTAAGGTTACAATGTGAGTCGTTGACCCACCTGGCCACCATGTGAGTCGTTAGGGTCAGGTGGGACCAGGGGTGAATGGGTGTGAAGTCGTCTGGGGAGGGATCCCAAGACTGCATTGTAGGTGGGGGATAAGTAGTGTCGTAAGCCACTCCCTCTGTTTAACGATGGTCGTTCCAGCTTGACGTAGATGGCTTCTTTTACTCCTCTTTCAAACCATCTTCCCTCCCTGGCCAAGATGTGCACATTGCTGTCCTCAAAGGAGTGTCCCTTCTCCTGTAGATGTAAGTGGACAGCTGAGTCTTGACCCTAGGAGCTGGCTCTCCTGTGCTGTGCCATGCGCTTGTGGAGTGGTTGTTTTGTCTCCCAAGTGTACAAATCTGTGCATTCCTGGCTGCACTGAACTGCATGCACTACATTACTCTGCTTATGTCTGGGTGTTTTGTCCTTGGGGTGGACAAGTTCCAGTAATTTCAATTGTGCAACATTCTGATCCGACAGAGATCTTCGTCCGGCATTTTAAAATCACCATCACAAAGCAGAACCGTATGGTTCTTTCTTCATTTTAACCAAAACCATGACTTTCTTCCTAACCTTAACCAAGTAATCCCTTGCTGGTAGAAAGCCCTCAAGGAAAACTTCCAACTCCCAACTGTTTCTGTTGCCATAACTCTTTCTCTACCTCGTCACAGTCATTTTGAGGCAATACTTGGCTGTAGCCTGCAACACTGTGCATAATGATGCTGCTAAAAAAAATGCAATGATTCAACAAATAAAATGCAAGTTGAGTCTGGGTCCTGTTAGTGGGCAGTTCTAGAATAAAGTGAGATTTTTGACTCACTGGTTTTTGTGATGGGTGCGCTTTCTGGCCTCAGGTGCGTGGCTTTGAAGAAAGACCTGTAGCTTGGGAGGGTCACAGATGGTGGGAATAATGAAGTGCCCCATCTCATGAAGACTGGGGTTAGAGCGGTCACTGTGATTGACACAAATAACATATGGTTTCTTGCTTCTTCTTACTTAAATAGTAGTGTGTCACATTATTTGAGGTGTTCAGTGGTAATGTGAAAACGTACTTATCCAGCAACATGGTGAGCCCCTGCAGGCTCCTGGGGTGCAGGCGAAGGTGTCGGGACATCAGGCTCTTGTGAAAGGTGCTGAGGGTGCTGTAGTGCTCAGTAATGGGTTGGACTGGTCCCAGCCTCTCCACATGAACCACTTGAGTCCCACCCAGGAGCAGGCTGATTCTCTCCTTCAGCCAGTCTGTCTGCTGCTGCAGGCTGCAATAGCTAGGCAGCTGGTCAAACAGCTGGAGACACACGGGCAGAGAAGGGGTACATAAACAGAGAGGAAAACACAGAATGTGTGACAGCAGGAGCACTGTGGCTACTTTACTTTGGTCCACTGATGATGAACATCCATGGTTCCCAGTGTGATGTCTCCAGAGGCGTTCATCCCTGACTGGTCAGCAAATACCACAGTGTGTCCTAATGGGAAGGCAAAGGAGCAGGTTAATTCCACACACCTGTGTAAGTCCATTTTGCTGGTCTCAAGCAGTGGAGCTAAATTAGTGAAATGAGTTGTAGAAAGCAGTTCATCAAAGGTTGATAATTATGCTGCTTTGACACTGCATCTTTAAATAATAATACTTTAGTTTTATATTGCCATGTAGAGTTAGGTCCATTTCTGGTTTTGTCAGTCCAGTCCAGTGTATGAGCTTAAATTGGTTTATTTTTATGCAAACTGGCTGAGCCAGCATTTGTCACCCACTGACAATTTAAAAAGCAACCTAAATCAGCAACCTATGCCAATGGCATCACAACGCTAACCCAACTTGTTGAAGTAATTACAAGCAGGATTTATGCACATTTTAACCATACATTTCCATGGCTTTTTCATGACTTATCCTTTCCTTTGAGGCAAAGTTTCATGACCACACATTCTCTAAAACATTTGTGTATACATGAAAAATAAGTAAAAAAATTAGGGGTGTGCTGTATCATAACGTTGTTGATAATACTGGTATTATTTTTAATATGATATAAAAAATTCATATCATGATAACTGCAATATTTCAACTTGTTAAAATATTGACATCATACTGTTACCCATGGCAACAACAAGCATGGCTGAAAGCTAAATTATTACAAACTCGGTGGTGGTTCCAAAAAGAGGAGCAGCGTCAGTAGTGTGGGATTAGCTGTGGCGTCCTGAATGTTTTATGAATGGCCCCGAACTTCTCAGACTCTTTAAGCAACTTGCAGCTCAGGGGGAACTCATTCAGCAGCTCCTCTGGCAACAGCACAGCGTTTCTACCTCTCCTCTCTTGCCGTGCCCACACGGGAGTTGGTGTCCAGTGATTTTGTCATAAACCTACATGACGCTTGTGGCTCGACAATTAAACTACATATATGTGAATGTGTGATAGTTATGGTAGCATAACAGCCTGTCACCGGTTACAGCGTAATGATTAGAGGATTTTGTATATATATATGTAGAGAGAGAGAGAGTGAGAGAGAGATTTTATTTAGAACATTTAGATTTTATTTTGTTGCACTATAAATATTGTATACAGAATCTGAATCTCACTCTGAGTTACTGTTACCTTCAGATATTCAGTAAAAACTAAAGAGAAATTCTCTTTAGTTTTTACTGAATATCTGAAGGAAAACTGTTCGGTTGACATGTAAAACTATATCACTTGTGTTGCAATACTGTGTTTTTAAATTAATAATAATATATTTTTTTACAATTTGTCATATCGTCAAGAATATTGTTAACGCAAAAATGCACTCTGGGATCTATATATATATAAATCAATAGGTGATTTCCTTCTCTTTTAGCAAAATCCTAAATGATGGAGTCATTTTTTTTCCACCTGGACCTTTATGCTCTGCCTTTTCTCCTCTAATCATTACGCTGTAACCTGTGACAGGCTGTTATGCTACCATAACTATTGCACATTAACATATACGTTGTTTTTTTTTGTCAAACCCCAGGCGTCATGTAGGTTTACATTACCAAAGGTTTATGACAAAATCACTTGATAACACTGACTCTCGTGTGGGCACTGCGGGAGAGGAGAGGTAGAGACGCTGTGCTGCTGTCAGAAGAGCTGCTGAATGAGTTCCCTCTTGGTCCGGGTATCATCGGATAATTGGGACTTCATTTGTAATTCAAAAACCAAAAAATGGTAAATCTGTTATTTGATTCAAAACAAAAAAACAGAAAACTGTTTTTGGTGTCAGAATCAAATAACGAAAAACCAATCAAACCCGGCCCATTTTTGTTTTTTGCCGATTCGTTTTTACGGTTATTCCTTTTTGGATTGAATATTGAACAGGTCTGCGGATGTTCAGCCAATTCGTTTTTGCGTTTGAAACCAAAAACGGAAGTCACCTGTTTTGTTTTTTTTTCCTTTTTTTCATTTTAAACCAAAAACGAACAACAAAATCATGTGATCTATTCCTTTTTTGTTTCCAAATGAAAAACCAGAAAACTAAATTCAAAAGACCGTGCAATTTTGGTTTTTGCAAATTCCTTTTTTCATTTCTCATTTGGGACAGACAGTAACATGGTGGACAGACAGGAAGCGAAGTGAAGTGTTAAAACGTCAAAATAAAATCCAAGAGGATAAAATGGACGTTCTATTAAAAATATAACACCCAACATTATGCAAGCACAGGATCTAATAAAATTGGACGCATCAGAAATGATATGTGCGTCTCCCCATTGAGAGAGACGCTGTGCGCATTTACGCACGAGACAGAGCAGCCTAACTTAATTATCTGGATCTAATGTATCAGGATCTAACGTTAATTAATGTTCTGTGTTCTTCTGCACATCCAAAAGGTCACGCACAAAGTCCAGGTTCATACAGTGAAATTGTTTGGAGTAAAGCAGTGTCCTCCTTATAAATCCTGAGCTCTATCAGAGCTGTCTAAATAAATACTTTAGAAGCTAAAAGTTTATTTCCATGTTTCATAATACGGATGGTTGGTTTAAATATCATAATATAAATGTCCTTTATTAAATTAAGACTGTGTAACGAGTTAGTATACTGTACAGGTCCGGCAGAAAATATAACAGTAGCCTACTGCTAATTCTCAAACAGTTTCAGTTGGACGCTGCATCTCAATTGCTGACATGTGCCACCTGCTGGTTGTTGTTGTGCACTGTAGCTACCTGGATCAATTATTTCACCCCCTTCACTATGGCTGCGGCATTGAAATGAGTAACATCTGTATGTGAACTGGTTAACAACAGTTTGGTAACACATGGTAACTTCTGCTTGTCACTTCTGTGACTGGGAAAGATGACACAGGCTATTTCCACATATGTAATTAATTAGACTATTAATTCACACTACGCAACTAAATAATATCACACATTTTATGGATAAAATATATATTTAATATGCATAGCAAATGTAGGCCTATTTATTTATTTTATTAGATCCTGTGCTTGCATAATGTTGGGTGTTACATTTTTAATAGAATGGCCATTCTACCCTCTTGGATTTTATTTTGACGTTTTTACACTTCACTTACGCTTCCTGTCTGTGCACTGCGCTACTGTCTGTCCCAAATGAGAAATGAAAAAAGGAATTTGCAAAAACCAAAATTGCACGTCTTTTGGAAGCTGTTTTCTGGTTTTTCGTTTGGAAACAAAAAAGAAATATATCACGTGATTTAGTTTTCTGGTTTTTGAATTGCAAATGAATTAGGAATTATCCGATGATACCCGGACTCCTCTGGGCAATAAGACGCTAAAAGTCTGGGGTTGTTCATAAAACATTGAGGATGCCACGATTTATTACACTACTGGAGCTGCTCCTCTTTTTTTAACCACCACCGAGTCAGTAATAATTTAGCTGTCAGCCAAGCTAGTTATTACCATGGGTAACAGTATGACGTCAGTATGTTAAGTCGAAATATAGCAGTTATCATGATGTGATTTTTTCATATCAGTACCTAAATAAGGACATTGTTTTCCACAGCAGGTGCATAAAGCACAGACAGGTAATGCATACAGACTGATGTCCTGTCCTCAGTGAGACTCTTTACCTTGCAGGTTGATCAGGGCCTCAGGGTTCTGCTGAGACAGTCGGCTCAGACTCTGAAGCTGACAGCACCTATGGGCCACTCCCCAGCTGCGCTGCCACCTACACCACACAACTGACGTCATCATCGTGGTAATATGTACACAGCCTCACACAACTTCATGCATAGACTTGAATTAAAGCTCAAAAGTCCCAGTTCCTCTAACAACCTTTTCTATTGTGTCATTTAAATCATGCTCCACAGTTACTCACAGTACAGAGGAATACACTTCAGTGTTAGGGCAAACACTAGAGTTGAGTGTACCTGATATCAGCGAGATCAAATTTGTGACACAGTTCCTTCTTCAGTCTGTTGAGCTCTTCTCTCAGGGGAAGACTAGCACCGTGCTTCTTTGTTGCCTCAGGCTCATTGTTTCTCAGCCACAAGCTGAAGAAGAAAAGGCAACATGAAACCACTCTGAGCTGGCTATTAGTTGTGGAAAAACCCACAGAGTTATACTCAAATCTACAGTTCCCCTAAGCTCTATGGAGCTTTCAAGCATCTTTTATTTCATTGCTTTGGTTTTCCAGACCATAACTTTTTTTTTACTCAACTTGGCATGGATTATGTTTGTTTTCTGCAGCAGCTGCTACTTTCTGTCAAAAAGCTCCACAAACGCACTGTACATGACCGATTCAGCAGCAAACACAGTTAATAGTGGGGCAGATAAGCAAAACAATTGTGCATTTTATGACTAAAGCATGAAACTTTCAGCATATAATCTACATACCCCAGGGTTTAATTTCAGACGTGGACCCACTTTCTGTCTGACCTCTGGTGACCTTGAGGAGTCATTGACCTCAGTATTGCATTTTTCCACTTTTCGCCCATTATTGGCCATTATATATGCTTGTTATTTCCTCAGCCATTGCCTTGTGTCTATATGTGTCAGTTTGTAGCATGATTCTACTGTTGCAGTCCAGCAGAGGGCAGTAGAGCTAGTTGGATGCACTGTTTACTGTTGGCTACTTCACCTGCGAGAGAGATAAGAGTGACATTTTGATGTATGGAAAAGTGAGTATTTTAATCATGTTCCTTCTGATCAAAGACTATAGCTAGCTGTTAATGATGAAATAAAATATTGATGATGGATGAAATTAAATACAGCTAGCTAGCTATTGTGCAATGTTAGCAAAGACTATAGCTAGCTGTTGATGATGAATGAAATAAAATGTTGATGATGGATGAAATGAAATATAGCTAGGTAGCTAGCTATTGTGTAATGTTAGCAAAGACTATAGCTAGCTGTTGATGATGAATGAAATAAAATGTTGATGATGGATGAAATGAAATACAACTAGCTAGCTCGCTAGCTATTGTGTAGTGTTAGCAAATCCACCTCCAACCTCTTCAACATTAATTCCTCCAAAGAGGATGTTAATAACATTTCTCGCACCAAACATACAAAAACTTAATAACAATGTGTAAAATAATATGAATATACACGTACACCTAATATGTTAAGTTCTTGTGCACTACAGGATTCTTGTACGTGTCAGCGAGCTATATATACTGCACTCTTCAGAACACTGACACTGTCCCTGCATCATGTCAAAATGCCATGTTCTGATTGATCCAGCCCAGCCAACTACATCTAAGCAGTCTAAACTGCATTACCCCACTAACTGGGAACTCTGTGCTCTCTGCCAAGTTGCTTTGTTGTACTAATGTATGACAGGACAAGTGAAATCACAGAGTTGAATGAAGCTAGAAAACAGCTCTTCACTCAGAAATCCAGAGCTCTGGAGAGCACGCCACCAACGAAGGCTGCACTAGAGCAACACATTAAGCAGGCCACCTATCAGGTAAGTTTTTTTATGTGTTTACTATTGATGACCAAAAATAAACAAATTTAATTAATTCATTCATTCATTCCTATCAAGCCAATGTCTGGTGCAAGCCTTGGAACCTGGCCCTCAGCTGCCAAGCCCTTCTGATTGGGGATGGGTGAAAGAAGGAGTGGGATGGCAGCCACTGTGGACCACCCTTCCAGAGGCCTCACAGAGCTGCTATGAACTAATCCATTGTGGCTGCAAGAAAGGGTGTACGACTCGCTGCAAGTGCAAAAAGGCTGCTCTCAGGTGTACTGCCCTTTGCTCATGCTCAGGAGACTGTTAAACGTCACTAATAATGCCATGTAATACTTAACTACTACTAGGGTAGATTAAGAAATGTCAAGATGACAGCACTGTTCAATTAAATTTAACACAAATTGTTGAAAGTCCTTTTTTTGTCTATACCGCTGACAGAATGTAAGTCTGATTTCACCTATTAAAGCAATTTTAGGATGACTAGTGACTTCCACAGCTCTTCTTCTCTGTAAAAAAAAAAAGTGGAAAAAAACATGTTTTTCACAGCCCAAAATGTACAGTCTCTGACAAGTTCCAGAGGTCAATTCAAAAGTGGGTCCATGTCTAAAAACAAACTCCATGGTATATAGAAACACTGTAGAAAGTTTCATGCTTTAGTCATAAAATGCACAATACTTTCCATATATGAGCTTATCTGCCCCACTATAAGCTTTGATTATACTTTACTTCAGATCCTGGCCTCTATAGATACTACAATATGGGCTCTGCATACACAGGCAGTTCCAAAAATGTTCACTAGAAAACCTGATGTCCACCTCCTAACAGAAAGAGGAGTTCCTTTGATTGTTGTATTTGGCTGAACAACATGAAAAAGTCAAAAACAGAAAATGGTGCGTGTGTGAAGATCGACTTCAAGTGATGAAAATGAAAATCTCATGTTTATGTGTTCAGTATACAGCTGGAGTCAGTAGGTGGTTAGCCTATTTTGGCATGAAGAATGAAAGCAGGATGAAACAGTTACCCTAGCTCTGTCAAACATTCAAAAGCACCTCTAAAGCTCACCAATACATGTTGTATCTTGGTTGTTTAATCTACAAACTACAGAGGTCTTAGGGGCCGTACATATGCAGCGTCTTTAACCGCCTGGAAAAGGTGTTGTGAGACTTTGCTGAGCAACCATAACCAGCACCATATCATAGCCTACTTACATGAAATCCAGAGTGCAGAGCTGATCTTCTCCCAGGTGCTGTTTTTTAAGTGTGTAGGCCTAAAATATTGTCCGTGGGACAGATATAAAGCTCTGAGTAGCCCTGCACTATAATGATTAGCGTCTTCCCCGTATCAACCACGGACTGCTTTTTACAGATGAGAGGACAGATTGGTTTTTATCTGTCACATGACATGCAGTGCACACTGCTGCGTTCCAAAAGTTGAACTCTGTTTATCTCAGGGTACAGACAATGTGCCCTAAAAAACAGGCACTCAGAAACGCGTCACAATGGTGTTGCTCTGGCATTTGAGTGTGCCTGCCGTGCATCTACATTAAAAACAATGGTGCAAAAAAGTGCGGCATTTGTACGGTCCCTTAGAGGGTGCCTAACTGTTTCTGATATTTCAAATCTGTACCAGACACCCAGGTCTTCATAATGTACTGTATGTATGGCAGTTGTAATTGTGAGTTGAGATACAGAGCTGAGGTCCAGTGTTACTAACATGAGTGTAGGCTCCACTCTCCTGGCCTGCTGCAGCTCCTGCTCAGGGTCTCTGAATCCAGTGAAGGTGTAGTAACTTTTATCCCATTTGATAGGTCTGTAGAAAGGCAACCCCGTCTCTGGTGGACTTTTAGATATGTCTGAATGTGCTTTCAGTCCCTTCATGTGCTCCATGGGTAGGCTGCAGGACTTCAAGACGTTCTTCACTGTGCTCAAGACATCGTTTGTGTGCAGGGTGAAACTCACTGACCGGAACCCTGAGAACCAAGGGAGAGGTTTTAAATTTGCAAAGACAGAACTCCCAAATATTAAAAGGTAATATTAATAGAAAGTTCACCTGAGACAAGAAGGTCTGGCCCCACATCACTGCTGTCCTTTGTGTCCCTGACATAAAAGGTGAGCTTCATTGGCTGAAGTGAGCGTGAGCCGGGCTTCTGCAGGTTGTCCAGATAGCCATTTAGCCTCTTTAATGAATTCTCATTCACTTCCTGTGAACACATTGAATGTTACACTGTGTGGTGAAGCCTCCTCTTCAAAAAAATCTTTGCACAATGATAATAAGTCGTGTGTTCTGACCAACAGCAGCCTTCTAGCAAAACACTACAATTGTCTGTGTTGGTGTAGTCCTGTTGCTGCAAACACTACTGACAATCTGAGCACATCAAAATGCCTCATGTCAGTCTACCCACAAGTCTTCCATTTGTTTCATTTACAACATTATGTTTCATTCATCTAAGCAAGTCATGATATATGAGAGACCTACCCGTTCCCTGGGGTATTGACCAAAGAAGTCGGGATGTACAGCAAAATAAAAAGGTCTGAGTGCATTGAGAGCATCTGCCCCTGACAGAGCTCTCTGCTGGACTAAACGTGCAGCTACATGTTTCCTCTCCAGCCTGCAGAGAAAAATACATGGAAGATAACTATTTTTTTTAGTTCTATTCCATGATGTGGAAAAAGACAGGGATAAAGTATTAGTGGTATGAACTATACTCAGAGATGTGTTATTGAGACCACAGTGAAGGCAGAGTTTGAAAATGGGTGTGGTGCAGGCAAGGATGCTTAAGTGGAGGGGTGGGAAGTAGGGAAGGGGTCAGTGGGGAAACTTAATGCCCCTGGCCCACATTTGTTTCAAGTCACAGATTGCTGTATCAGGGCTGATGTGATCCCATGGCAAGATGGTCTCTAATTAGTTAATTTTCTGTCAACTAACTAATCATTTGAGCACAAATGTTAATACATAATCCCCTTTATTGTAAAAAATCTACCAACTGTATTTTCTCATTAGAAAAGAAGGTGAATACCTTTAGCTTCTCTGCACTGGCTCCCTGTAAAATCCAGAATGGAATTTAAAATCCTACTGTTAACTTATAAAGCTCTAAATGGTCAAGCTCCGTCATATCTTAGAGAGCTCATAGTGCCATATTATCCCACCAGAACACTGCGCTCTGAGAACGCAGGGTTACTCGTGGTCCCTAAAGTCTCCAAAAGCAGATCAGGAGCCAGAGCCTTCAGCTATCAGGCTCCTCTCCTGTGGAATCATCTTCCTGTTACGGTCCGGGAGGCAGACACCGTCTCCACATTTAAGACTAGACTTAAGACTTTCCTCTTTGATAAAGCTTATAGTTAGGGCTGGCTCAGGCTTGCCCTGTACC